TTAAATTGCAAAATACAACAAAGAAAAATTGATGTAACATACACGAATGACAAATACAGGCATATCTCATTTTATTGCGCTTTGTAGATATTGCGGGGGTTTTGTTGTTTTTTTTTTCAAACGAATTGAAGGTTTGTGGTAATCCTGCATGGAGCAAGTCAACTGACACCAGTTTTTCAACAGGCTCAGATAATAGCTAGTATTTTTTAGCAAAAAAGTATTTTTAAATTAAGGTTTTGTGTGTGTGTGTGTGTGTGTGTGTGTGTGTATATGTATATATATATTTATTTATTTATTTTAAGACATGTTATTGCACACTCAATAGACTACAGTATGGTATAAACATAACATGCACTGAGACTTCATTGGACTTGCTTTATTACGATATTCACTTTATTGCGGTCGGTGGTCTGGAACTGAACCCACAATATCTCCAAACTCTAAAGCAAACATCCCTATAACTAACAGGTCAAGACATTGAACTTCCTCTCCACCCCTATAAGCCTCCCACTCAAAAGCCTTTTTTTTTGCCAAATGTAAAGACTATCCTCATGTTTATTATTACCTTGTCTTTTTTTGTGTATGTTAGTTTTAGCATCTGTATTGTGCATCTCTAAATAATATATTGTTTAGTTTTGTCTGTTTTTGTGTTTTACATGAATGGCATACAGTATGTACTCTTGTATCTTGTACTTTGTGGAATTCATTCATTTCGTATGTAGCTGCAGTACTTTCTCATTGCTTCATAATAGTCTCTTATGTGACTACCCCACAATTCTCCATTTTACTATTGATGGGCATTTGGGTGTTTCCAGTTTGGGGTGGTTAGGTACAAAGCTGATTGACCTTGTACATGAGTGCTGGAGTTTTTCTAAGGTAGGTATGTGTGTATTTCTAAAACTAGCTGTGGAATTGCAGAATCAAGAGAGTATGCATATATTTAGCACTGCCTGATACTGCCAAGTGATGTGCTTATGTATAGTCACCCCAGCACTGCATGCTTCACATCCTCACCATAGTTGGTATTGTTAGACCTACAAATTTTTGTCAACGTGGTGTATTTAGTGGTGTCTCATTGTGGTTTAAATAGCATTTCCCCAATTAATAATGAACATGAACACCTTTACACATGTGTATTGGCCATTTAATTTCTTG